GGGAAGAATAATATCTCCTGGCCGATGTTGAGAAGAATGATGCAATGCACCCAGCTCTAGGCCTGACAATTATTATCCATGTGTATTTGTTTCTTTTCCTTTGACACTTTTTTGTCATAGTATTTTGAGCTCCCAATTTTATATCACTTACCATGGTTTCTTTTCTGTCCTCATCTCAACTCTCTTGCTAGACACAGTCTTTGAGCTTAACAATCCCAAGTCAGTGTGCCTAGTTACCTGGATGCTTCTTTAAATGCAGATGTGGGGGGAGGGGTCTACCTCACAAGACTGTGAGTCCATATGTATGTTTGGGTGCGGCCCGGGGAATCCACAGTATCCTCAAGGACCCCCAGCTATGCCAAATGAGGCCTAGGCCAAGGGCCACACGTGGAGAAACCTATGATCTGAGAAAAGCTTGCTTCAGAAGCCCTAGAGCTGCATTTTCTTCAAATTCAGACCTGAAGACAACAAACCTCCTTTTCTAACCTCCCTCCCCTCCCCTCCCCCTTGGAGCCCCAGAGACCTGGAGCAAGCTCATTTATCACCCATGTTACCTCTTTCTTCTCTTCTTGATGAGGAGGCATGGCCATTTTTGCCTGTCTAGCACCCATTTCCCTCTCTCTGCTAGCCCTCTAGATTTTCCTCACTCCCAGGGCAGATGGTTCAAACAAGGCTGATACCCTCCTTCTCCCCATCCCCCATCCCACTTCAAATCAGTGAAGGTCAGCCTCCAGGACAGTTATAGAACGAGAGAAAAGAATGCTGTTCCTTCAGGGATACTGGACTGTTGGGAACCTAAGCCTGGGGTTTCGCATAGATGAGATGGAGAGCCTGCTGAGAAGGAACGGGGAGAAATGGTGCCCCTGTGATGGACTTTGGCCACCTGAGTTCTGGGTAATATGAGTTACTCTCTTTATGGTTGAGGTCAGTTTACTGGCATGTCTCCTGAGGGTTCTGACTAACACACGGAAACCATCCCCCACATAAAGTCCTTTACGTGTCACACCTGCCTCTCCTCTCACCCCTTCCTCTCCTCAGAAAAGGACCCTCCCTCACTGGGCTGTCTCCATCTCCCCGCACCTCACTCTCCTCACCCAGAGTCCCCTCCTCACCCAGTGTCCCCTCCTCACCAAGAGTCCCCTCCTCGCCACAACTAAAATCCCAAGTTTCCCCTGTCCTGGCAGCTGGGGACCTTCCTCTTTTCGTGTGGTCAGGTCTAGCCCACTTCTCTTTTCCTCTTTGAGGAGAAAAATGCCCTTTTCCTTGAAGACGCATGCTAGCAAGCTCACTGTTTACTGTAATTTTCTGATTACTTAACTCCCTTAGGACTTTGACACCTGTTTTACAGTCTCCCCTCCCAGCCCTGCCATCATTCCCGAGGGCTTTCAGCATCCCATTCAGTAGCCTGCAATCATAGTTTATGCAGCATTTACTGCATACCAGGCATGGTCCTGAGCACTTTACAGATATTTTAGCTCACTTTTTTTTTTTTTAATATATATTTTGTTGATTTTTTTACAGAGAGGAAGAGAGAGGGATAGAGAGAAACGTCGATGAGAGAGAATCATCAACCAGCTGCCTTTTGCACACCCCCCACTGAGGATGTGTCCGCAAACCAAGGTACATGCCCCTGACCAGAATCGAACCCGGGACCCTTCAGTCCTCAGGCCGACACTCTATCCACTGAGCCAAACTGGTTTGGGCTTAGCTCACTTTTATTATCCCCATTTTATGGGTGAGGAAACTGAGGCACATAAAGGCTATTTGGACTTGGCTAGTGTTACGCAGCTACTAAGTGGTAGAGAGGGGATGAGGTCAAGGGGATCTAATTGCAGAGTCTGGGCTCTTCCCGCACATGCTAGCCTCCCAGTTCCCTACACTGTAGCATCCCTCACAGCCACTCTGTACTGGTCCTCTGATGGTGGGAGGGAGTCATACCTCCTCCAACTAACTGAGTCACTGGGCATTTGGAATATCCCTGAGAGTCAGAAATGACAGCTGAGGATGTCTGTTAGAGAGATCTGTACCTCCTCTTCCTGCCGCTCAATTATTTATTGTCAACCTTCATGTAAATGTGCCAGTTCCTGGTCCTATGGCAGAGTATTATTTTATAATACCCTGTAAACTGGGTATACTTGTTAGGGTAATTTGCTGAGATGCAAGTTGGGCTGAAGACACAGAGGCAGAAAAGCAAGTTAGATATTCTGCTCCAGGTGCCCTGTGAGGCCTCTTCTGTGCACCAATGTCCTCATTCTCTGAGAAGGCCACTGCATTCAGGCCAGTCTATCCTCCTCCTAATGTGTCCCTTGCCCATATCCTTACCGTGGTCTGTATGCCTTGACCTTCTAGAAACTTTGCACAATAGTTCAAAACTCCCAGTTCACCATCCCATGTAATCATATCTAAGTGTAGCTTCATCCAGAGCTGCTCCACTTTGAAAATTCATGCTGAGACCCTGCACCCCAACATCATCCCACCTCTTCACACACTTGCTAGCCTCCCAGTTCCCTGTAATTGTAGTATCCCTGCTACTGCTAGAAAAAGCTCACACAAGTGTGTGAACTGGTGTCATAAATATAAGGTCGCCAAGCTCACATGGCACCCCCATGACTCCAAGCCTAATTAATACTTACAACAGCTGTAATTATAACTGTTTATTGAGTGCTTACAACTATGTGCACTGTCCTAATCCCTGTTTAACTCTCAAAACACCACCACCATGAGTTAGAGACCATTGTGGTTGAGAAAAGGGCCACATATTAAACCTGAGTGGTAGACCTTACAAAACCAGAGACCAGTCCCAGCAGGGTGTGGCTCAGCAGTTGAGTGTTGACCCAGGAACCCAAGAGGTCACTGGTTCAATTCCTGGTTTGATTCCTGGTCAGGGCATTGAGAGGGCAGGATGGGGCGGGGCTAACTCCTGATCCATTTTGTACTATGGGGTAGGGCAGAGCTATCCTCCATTTTGTAACTGGACCCAACCAATCAGGGTCAGCCAAAGCAGTGACATCACCACCCCTATAAAACCCTTTGATCTGTTGAAGCTTGCGCTCTTCCGCCATGCCACTGTTAGTGTAAGTGGGACAGAGCCCATGCTAGCATGGAATACAGGCTTTCTGCTATTGCATCGGACTCGGCACCCTGGTGGTCTTTGGGGATCACGAAATCTGGGCATAACAGGTATATGCGGAGGACTTGATCCCCAGTAGGGATGAGCAAGAGGCAACTGATCAATGATTCTCTCTCCCTGTCTCCCTGAAATCAATAAAATTAAACACACACACACACACACACACACACACACACACACACAACACAAACAAACACAAAAAACAGGAACCACACAGGGTAAAATTCTTAACTAAAAGTGGGTCATGGAAGGTAATCATGTCTTAGGCCTGTAGTTTTCTTGGCAAAGGTCATCCTTAAACTTTGAAATTACCTATTGCTTTTGTGCATCTGAGATTGTTGGCAGCAGCAAAAATGATGCTAAATGTTAAGATGGTGGAGTCAGATGGCACTTTGTGGGATTCAGCATCGTTGGTAGAAGGGAGCGGGTGGGCTGGGTCCTCCATGAAAGTACCGTGTTTCCCCGAAAATAAGACATCCTCCGAAAATAAGACTCAGCGCATGGAAAGATAAGACATCCCTTAAAAATAAGACCTAGCGCAACTTTGGGAGAAAAATTAATATAAGACACTGTCTTATTTTCGGGGAAACAGGGTATGTGGAACAAAACAGCAAAAAGTCCCTAAGGGCTTTTTAGGGTGGGGATTTTAGGGGCAATCCCAGGAGAAGACCTCCACAGAACATTCCTCAGCTTTCCAGGAGTGACCTTTGGGTCTCCACTGATTGGTCGGTGCCCTGGCAGGGCCTTTAGTAGATGCCGCTGGTCCTGACCTCAGCGTATCCCTTGTTTGGTTTTGCTGCTTTCCTGGGCTTGGAGCTGAAACGCAACTGAAGCCTCGATGTTATCCCTGGGGGTTAATGCTTAGGGGATTGGTCATGCAAGGACCCCCATGGGAGCCCCAGGAGGCCCCTCTTTGGCAGTGAGGGGGTATATGACAGGACCAGCATATGCAGGGGAGGAAAGGTTACCCTGGAGGGGAATCTTTTGTTTTCCCGGTTGCTAGGCACAGGGGCTTCCAGCCCTGGTGAGCTTCCCTACCTGGCCTATCCTCCTTGCTCTCCCGCTCAAGTCTGCCCTTCCAAGAGCTGGGCCAGTTCCACTGCCTCGTCTCCAAGCTAAAAGTGCTGTGTCACTGGGGCAGTGGCCTCTTCAGTGAAAGTGAAAGAAAAGGCAGGAGGGGAGAGAAAAACCACCGTTTTAAATGCCGAAAAGCAGGAGGGGGTGTGGCGGTGCAGATATACTTCCTGGTCATGGTTACTCAGCACTTTAGGGGGTCCGGGGGTGTGGGTGTGGGTGTGGGTGTGGGTGTGGCGGGCCTTTCCGATGAATGCAGCCCTGGCTAGGCGGCTCCTTTAGGGGCCTGGCCGTGCTCGATTAAGGCCTGGCTGACCCCTTCCCAGGTGAACCTGCCTGCGGCTCAGGGAGGGGCCGCCCGCCGCCCCAGGTCCCTCCTAGTGCACGAGCCCCATAAGTCGCTCTGTGGCCCCTGCAGACCCCGGCCCCAGCTGGGGTACCGGGAGCGGGGAGGCGGTGCAGGGAGGACAGGGTGGTGGTAAAGGTTAGAGGGGGTGAGGGGGCCATGGGGGTATCCCCCGAGGTCTGCCCCGGGCCCGCGGAAGCCCCGCCCCAGGCCGCGGCCCCGCCCCCAGGAGCCGCCCCAGGGGGCGGGCCTGACCGCGGCGCCGGGGCGGGGCGGGCGCGGGAGGCCGAGCGGGCGCGCCCCCGCCACACGCACGCCGCGCGCGCCCGCGCCCCGCGCCCCGGCGACTATAAAGGGAAGGCGGTCTGCGCGCCGTCTCCGCCCGGTCTGCAGCTTTCCATCCACTCGCATCGCTTCCCCACGGTCGCCGGTCAGACCTCAGCCGCCAACATGGTGAAGCAGATCGAGAGCAAGGTGTGCGCGAGGCCGGGGCGCGGCGCGCGGCCTCCGCGGCCGGGGAGGGCGATGGGCCGGGGTGGGCAGGCCGCCGCTCCGCATCCCGGAGGAAGGGGACGCGGCGGCCCGGCCTGGGGCTGCTGGAAGCCCGCGCCTGGGCGCGCCCTGGAGGGAGGAAGGGAGGAGAGGGACGGGAGCCCCCTGCAGGTCAGGGTCCGGTGCCCAGGGCGCAGGGGGGAAATGCACGCGCGCGTGGAGGGTGCGGGCGTCCCCTCCCTGCGCTTCCTGCACCACCCGTGTCTGGGAACTCTTCGCTTGGGTGCAGGGAGTCTGCTCTTGCCCCCCCCCCCCCTATATATTTCCTGGCGTCCGGGCCAGGAAATGGAGGGCCCCTTGGAGAATACCGGGGGTGCTGGCCGTCACACCTCCCCGGTGAGTGGCGTGATCCCCGCGCGCCGTGGGGTGGGGTGGGCTCCCCGGGAGCGGATCTGGGACGGAGGCCCCCGGCTGCTCCCCCGGGGCTGTGCCCCAGACGTGACTGCACCCTGGCAGGGCGGGTGGTTCCGGGCCGGGGAACCCGCTCCACTTCCCTGGGTGCCCCGGACCCAGACCGCCCCAGCCCCGGAGGCCCAGGTGCCCGCGAGGAAATGAGGTCCGGCCGCGCCCTCCGGCTCCTCCTCCCGCGGCGCGGGGCGTGTTTCCGGCGGCGCTGGCTCCGGGATGACTCAGTGCCCGGAGCCGGCCCGCACCTCCGCGCCCTGCCCGGCCGTGTGATTCACCGCGGCCGGTAACTCCCGCCGGAGCCAGGAATGCTCGCTGGGAGCGGCTTTCGGGCACCCAGAGGGTGGGTCCATCCTTTAGGATGCCCCAGGCAGGAAAGTTCCTGCGAGCTGATGCCTTCCCGCCCGAAAACCCAAGAGCCTAACACACACACACAGTGCCTGGTATACTGTAGCCACCCAAGAAATGTTTGTTCAATGCAGATCCAGAAAAGCGAGGGGGAGGGAATTGATGTTGCTGGAACAGTGGGAGAATCTCATTCACTCCCACGACAGTCCCACCCCAGGGAACCTGGAGGGCCCGGGACCCTTTAGATGCTGGGGCGGGCTTAGAGGGACCCCCCCCCCCTTTTTTTTTTTCTGTAATGGTCCCTTATCTTTTTGTCACTTTTAGAACCAGATAATATATGTGATCACTGTAGAAAGATTGAGGCGAGAGGGATTTGCTATGTCCTACAAGCCACAAAGCAATTGACATTATGTTCTGTCTAGATGCTATTTTGTTTCTGAGCTTTTATTTTCCTGTAGAGTTTAGCCTGAATAGTTTACATGCAATCAGAAGCTTTTTGTAGCCATGTCAGTATCTGAACACACTGCTGGACATTTGGGCAGTGTTTTTGTGGCCTCAGTGGCTGTTTTGTCCATAACAGCCTGTGCTGGGGTCTGGGTCTGGAGGGCGGCGCCTGGGCACCTTTAAGGCCTGTCATTGCCTCTGGAAGCATGTGCGTGCCCCGCCCTTTCCTCTCTGCGCTGGACTTTCCCCCCTAACTTTGGCCAGGTCATCAGTAAGAAAATTCTCATTGGAATTGCTTTTGATAGATGATTACTGACAGACTTTTCTCCTCCCACCTGTATTGATTGGCTATTTGTGGTCCATTATCTGCTTGTCCTTAATGATTTTATTTTCCTATTAGGATTCATTTTTTACATTGTGAGCATTTATATTAAAATCAGCAGCCTTCCCATTTGTTGAAAACAGAGGTCCTTAACATTGATTTTTGTTCTACATACTTTTATTTAATACCTGCTGAATGAAGAGCTATCAGCTGATAGGGTGAGGGGTTTCGTCCAGGGTCTGGCCACCTCAGTATAACCCCGTGGTCGGCAAACTGCGGCCTGAGAGCCACATGCGGCTCTTTGGCCCCTTGAGGGTGGCTCTTCCACAAAACACCACAGTCTGGGCGAGTCTACTTCGAAGAAGTTTAAGTTTAAAAGCATTTGGCTCTCCAAAGAAATTTCAGTTGTCCTGTTGATATTTGGCTCTGTTGACTCATGAGTTTGCCGACCACTGGTCTAACCCAACAGGTGAGCACCCATGAAAGGATGAAACGCCTTTGAGGGGTCTGGATTAGTCTCAGGATCCAGGCAGCACAGATAGGCAATGGAGTGATTCCGGGATCACATCTTTCCGTTTTCCCCGTTTTCATTTATGGCGCCCTCCTCCCCTCATCAAGGAGATGTAGAGGGTGGTGAGAAATTTGTTCCTCAAAGAAGCTCTACCTCAGGCTCTGATAATCAGTTGATCTTCAGATTTGTAATTTAGAGTCATTCAAAAAGGAAACTAACTTGAACGTTACTTGTAAATGTCGAATACACTTGAGATTTTCTTCTTGATGGAGTTGGTGCCACTGATTTTCCAAAACTACGCTTCGGGGGCGGGGTGGGGGGTGTATTAGCTTGGAGCCGCTGGGATCTGTTTCAGATGCAGTTGGGATAATGTGATGAAGAAGAAATCACACAGGTTCTTTTCGTTTTCACTATTGTTTAGTTAGCTATTGTTGTTTTTTAAAGAATGCCAGCTGTCATTTATTGAACACAGGCACTTTGCTTAATGCTTTACACACTAATCCTGTGCTTTTATTACTGTGGGATGGTTGTGTTTAGGAAAAGAGATGCTAGACGCTGCTTCTATTTATGTACCCCACCTAATGTAGTTTTGTTTTTACATATTTGTGTCAGGCCCTTGGTTAGAGTGTCTGCCCAAGCACTGAAGGGTCTCGGGTTCAGTTCCCAGTCCACCCGTGCACATACTGGTCTCCAGGTTCAGTCCCCCATCCCTGATCCAATAGGGGGTTATGCAGGAGGCAACCAGTTGATGTGCCTCTCTCACAGTGATTTCTGTCTCTCCCCCCTCACACCTCCTCTTTTTTTTTTTTTTTTTTTTTTTTTTTAAATCCTCACCCAAGGATATTTTTCCATTGATTTTAAGGGAGAGTGGAAGAGAGAGGGAAAGACAGAGAAACATTGATGTGAGAGAAACACATTGATTGGTTGCCTCCTGCGTGCGCTCTGACCAGGGCCTAAGCCAGGGAGGAGCCTACAACATATGTGTGTGCCCTTGACTGGAATGGAACCCAGGACCCTTAGGTCTGCAGAACGATGCTCTATCCACCGAACCGAACAGGCTAGGGCCATGGTCAGCAAATTGCGGCTCTCGAGCCACATGCAGCTCTTTGGTCCCTTGAGTGTTGCTCTTCCACAAAATACCATGGCCTGGGAGAGTCTATTTTGAAGAAGTGGCCTTAGTAGAAGTTTAAGTTTTAAAAATTTGGCTCTGTTTACTAGTTTGTCAACCACTGGGCTAGAGTGTCACTCTTTCCCTCTTTCTCTTCCCCTCCCTCCTTCTATTCTCTAAAAATCAATGAACAAAATAATCCTTGGGTGAGAATGTAAAAAATTATTTTTAAATATTTGTGTCAGTAAACAGGACCTTCAATAATTTTCACTTACAGTTTCTGGAAGCTAGGGATTGTGGTTTGCTTCTTAGTGAAGTTATTTTGAATCGTTTTCAAACTGATGTCTGTGTTAGGTAAATTTTAAGTATCAGGAGATGAGAAATGGTTATGAAGTCTACACATACCAAGCTCCAACTCAGGTTCATTTGAACCAAAGTTCCTATTGCGTGCCTTTTTCTTATAAGATTTTTAGATAGTTATGCTGGAATTTGATTCTGAATTGTTTGGGGGAGTTCCTTGAGAGTGTTTGAAATACTATTCTATGTTGAAAGTAATAAGCTAGAGAAAAGAAAGTCATAAGGAAGAGAGAACACATTTACAATGTTGTCTGTACTCATTGGGCAACTTTATAAATGGACCCACTTTAGAAAGTGGACCCGTGTTGTTCAAGGGTCCACTGTATTCGTCTGACCAGACAGCCTCATTCCTTGACTTTTTTCCTGTCTTATCTGGATCTTGCTTGTGTAGAATGGCTTGTTTGACCTGCTAAAAATTTCATCTAGAAAAATCAGTGATGATTTGGAAATGTAATTTCTAGAATTCTTTTTTTATTTTAGAGGAGGAGGTGGAGAAATGGTTGTTCCATTTATTCATGCATTTATTGGTTGATTCTTGTATGTGCCCCGACCAGGGATGGAACCTGCCATCTTGGCGTATCAAATGGTGCTCTCACCAGCTGAGCTACCCGGCTAGGGCCAATTTCTGTCATTCTAAGCTGACTCTCCCCTCCACCCCCAAAGGCAGGGTGACTGTTTGTACCTGGTAACTGAAAAGATTACCTAAGTAATGACATGCCATTCTTGAAACACCATTTGTGATTTATCCCCCGCCCCCCCAAAAAAAAATGTGAAGTAGAAATTAGAAATCTAGAAAAGTAGCTGTGCTTCAGGGGAATTCACTCCAGGTCTTAGTGGTGCTTTATTTCCTTTCCCTTTCTATGGGACCAGATCTGATCTGATTCTTAGCTGTCAAAGGAGGGGAACATTCATTTTTTAATGAAACCAGCGGGATTCCAATTTTCTCCTTGAAGAAAACCTAGATTCCGGTGTGGATGTTTGTGTCTTGATTTCTCTTCGTTGCCTGGTGTTGATCAGCACTGACTGACTAATTGTGGTTAAAATGAGTTTCTTAATTGAAAGGTTAGGTTCCCAGGGTTACAGTATCAAGACCGTTGGTAAATTATTCACGGAGGCTGGTGGAGAGGGATTTCTTGGTCATTTCTGCTCCTGGCATTGTATTTAACACGCATTCCTTAGGAGGAACTAAAACTGTCTTTCATTCTGTCAACTAGGAGGGCAGAGTTTTGAGATAAAGGGCAGAAATCAACTATCCACAGTTCTGATCTGAACTCTGGAAAGGCCATTTAAAAGGAATACAAGGAAATATGCTCAATGTCGCCAGCGACTGGATGTAAGCATTTGGAGGAGGTTCCTGTTTTGTTTTTTGCTTTTGGAAAGTTCCGCCATAGGAAATATTAATTTAATGAAAAAGCTGTTAGATTAAAAAAAACTTGTGGTGTAGAGAGCAAAATCCTGTGTCTTTGTAACGATTTAATTCAGGTGATCCCTTTTCACCTGTTGAGCATTTAGTAAATTGTCCAAAATACAGCGGAACCTCGTTTCTCAAACGTCTCCCATCTCACATCTCTCAGGTGACAAAGGGGAAATTGTGAAAATATACGTCCGTTTATTACTGTAAGATGTCAGGATATTGTGCTGTGAATATTTTTGTGGGTTTTTTTGTTGTTGCTGCTGCTTATAATTTGTAAAATTTTTGTTTTTACTATACATTTCCTTTATTTTTTGTTAAATTCTCATTTACACTTCATGTTCTTTCTGTACTTAAAGTATTTATTTACAGATTACACAGAATAAACATATACTGTCTATAAGAAAGGTTAAAACAGAATCTTTGGGAGTCTGGAATGGATTATATTTCTAATGGGAGGAAAAAAGGATTCTGTTTTCAAACAGCCTTCGGGAATGAATGAAGTTTGAAAAATGAAGTTACACTGTACCTAGATTTGATGTGGAAACATTTTTAATACAAATGTGTATTTTTTTTTCTTTAGTTTGGATATAGATTGACTAATTTTATAAAATATTCATAGACACACGAGTATGGATACACTATACACATATTTGTTTCATCTTATCAAGTAATAATATTACAAACACCACCAAAGGATTTTGTTTGTTTTTCAGTTTCTTTGGGTTCTTCTATTAAAAGATACAGGTTTGGGTTCCAGGACCTCTGAATTGTGCTGTGTGTCACATTTCATGAGGTTTTATTGGGGCTTTTTGTTTATAGTTATTTACACGCCTGTCCTCTTTCCTTAGTACGCTTTCCAGGAAGCCCTGAACAGCGCGGGAGATAAGCTGGTCGTGGTCGACTTCTCCGCCACGTGGTGTGGGCCCTGCAAGATGATCAAGCCCTTCTTCCATGTGAGTGCCCGCTGCTCTGGGAGCGATGTGTGTTCCTTGGGCGGGAGGTCACAACCCTAGAGAGAGAGAAACACAACAGTTGGTGGGTGGGTGGTGGTTGTCTGGTCTTTGGTCTAAAAGTAATAATGTAACCACCTAAGTTACTCTGACATACAGCCCGCTGAAGACAACCTGTAGAAGCCAATTCAGTTGTCTTCAGTAGTTTTAGTTCATTTTGAAACATGGGCCCCCGAGTTATTTGACTCCAATAACTTTGGAGGAATTTGATTCTTACGCTTACCTGGTCCCCAGTCTAAATGTTGGCATCTTTTACGATATTTCCGTGTAAGAAGGTTGGGGTGGACTGCCGCTAACAAGCTCTGATTCTCCGTGTGCTTTTCATTTCAAACGCTCCAGTCCCTCTCCGAGAAGTATTCCAACGTGATATTCCTGGAAGTAGACGTGGATGACTGTCAGGTACGTGGCTGGGAATCTGGAGTGCTCCTTCGCTAACAGGTTTTCTTTTGAAAGGACAGGTACCTGTGCCAGCTCTGAGCCTAAGCCCAGACATCAGGAGGTATGTGTATCGCAGCCTAAAACAAGCATAAAAACAGGTGGTTCAGGTTTCGGTACGTTACTTCCCAGTTATCTCCCCTCTAAACACTTTTACGTTCTACCTCACCCTATAGAGTTGATGGTTATCACCAAATGTGGAGACCACTTTATTTATTTTTTAATATATTTTATTGATTTTATACAGAGAGGAAGGGAGAGAGTTAGAAACATCGATGAGAGAGAGTCATCAATCAGCTGCCTCTTGCACACCCCCTACTGGGGATATGCCCGCAACCAAGGTACATGCCCTTGACCGGAATCGAACCTGGGACCCTTCAGTCCCCAAGCCGACGCTCTATCCATTGAGCCAAACCGGTCCCGGCGTGGAGACCACTTTAAAGGTTCTTGTGAAGTAATGACATGAGAAAGTATATTCACACACTTAGTCTATCCTAGTTTTAGTTGATTTTGGTCAATTAAAAAACCCAACAGTCTTTAAAAAAAAAAAAAACACCAAGTTGCCTGGGAGGGAGCAGAGAGAATGACTGAGGGAAGATTCCAGGTTGGTTGAATTAGCAAATGCTTGTTTAGCACTGTGGGCCAGGCACTGTTCTGTGCCTCACATCTAAATCCTGGTGCCATCGCCCCCGTTTTACAGAAGAGAAAAGCAGAGGTGGGAGGTGGTCCATGGAGGCCCAGTGGCAGAGCCTGGGTTTGAAAAGGGGTCGCTGGCTTCCCAGCCCTTGCTCTTTCCCTCTCAAGGCCCCTCCGTGGTTGGGGGTGGAGATCAGGTTCCCAGCACGGTGCCTCTCGCAGCCCCCTGGGCGAGGAGCGCCTGCTAAGGCGGCTCACGGGGCGCTCTTTAAAGCGAGGCCGGCATTTGCCCCCGCCCCGGTGGCAGGAGAGGACCAGGCTGCAAAGGCGCCAGACCGTGGTTCCAGTCCCGGCTCAGGGACTCCTGCTCCCGGCTAATCCTTCCTTGAGCTGTGGTCAGATGTTAGTGCTTGCCCCATCAGCTGGCCAACGTTGCATATTCGTTGAGCAACTGTGGGATGTCCTAAAGGGTCGGTAAAAGTGGGTACAGGGTTATACTTTCTAAGTCTGGGAGGACCTTCCCGCAGCACGTCCACCAGTTCCACACGCGTCCCCTCACTCTGTGCTCTGCGGGCGCGGCCTTGTCTTTCCCGGCTGGTGAACTCCTGGCTGCAGGCTTCACATCTTTCCCGGGAGCCTCCTTTTGTGCCCAGCTAGGTCAGTTTCCTTCCTCTGCGCCCATGGTGTCCTCGGCCCCTTCTCCTCTGGCATTTACAATTGTGGAATGGGGTGGATCCTCTTCCTAGGAGACTGCCTGCTCCCTCCCTCCACTCTGTCCCTTGTTAGCGGTACAAGGCGGGTTATCTTTCCTGTGCCTCCATTTGAGCCTCCGTAAAATGGCAGTGTTAATGCAACATCAGAGGGTAGTCATCAGGATTAAATGAGATAACATCTAGAAAGTGCTCAGAACAATTCCTGGCACAGTGTACCATTCACTGGATCTTTATAATGGCCTGTGTGTGTCTGCCCTTGACCTCAGGAACGGTCTTACTCACCAGGTTTGTGTCTTCACCGAGCACACCTCCTGGCATGCAGGCGGTGGGAAATGGATGGTTGTCGAGCTGTTGTTCTGACGTGTTAGCATAGTTTTAGGGAAGAAAAAGAATTGAGAGTAGATAGTAGTATGTGAGGTTAAAACAGGGAGCAAGGGTTTTTTCCAATTTAAAGTCTTGAGAAAAACTTCTGGTGCTGAGCCTGTCATAGCGCAACCGAATACACTTTTTTTGGAAAGTAATACCAGGCGCTAGATGTTGTGGGAAGCTCTCTGCATGCGTGAGGTCACCTAATCCTCCCAGGAACCCTGAGAAGAGCTTCTTAGCACCTCCACTGAAGAGCTAGTGGACTGTGGACTGTAGCACAGAGGTATGTCAATCAAGGCAGAGTTTGGGGAGAGGGGCGGCAGGAGGGCGTGTTGAGCCGAGGCCCAGGAGCCTAGACCCAGCGCTCCTACCACCTCCGGGGAGCAGAGCAGGCAGGACTGCTTGTGCCTGAGCTGCTCTTCCGAGTCTGGTTGGTATACTCATGATCACCCTGAGTTTCCAAACCTTGAAGTGCCCACTCCCACACGGGGGCCTTTCACTTTGCCTCCCTGTTTTAAAGGTTGAATACCTGTAACGGCTGCTATTACAACCACCTCAGTAGCCTTATCTGTGGCTGAGGGAAAAGTTGGATTCCAGAACCCTTTGATCACCACATGCACCTAGCTGCAGTCTGTCAGCTCCTCCTCACCTGGTCGTTCAGACAGAAAGCCAACAGTCAGTAGCCATTTCGCCATGGAATTCATGATTTACCTGAGTGGGTCTCCGGTTGCTTGGAAACTCTAGGTCAGTGGTTCTCAACCTTTCTAATGCCTCGACCCTTTAATACAGTACCTCATGTTGTGGTGACCCCCAACCATAAAATTATTTTTGTTGCTACTTCATAATTTTGCAACCCACAGGTTGAGAACTGCTGCTCTAGAGCCTAAAACCATCGGAAAACAGATATTTTACATTACGATTCATACCTTTATAATGTCTTTGGAGCAAGCAGCACACAGTTTTGAAAGAGGGAGCTATAACCAAGGACAGGAAGAAGTTATCTTTTGGGTGTAATAGATTCCAGCGGGCAGCTGGGAGGCATGGACACGGAGTGTGGGACACGAGGGAAACTCAGTACTCCCCGGGAAGTTTGCGGACTAGCCCTTCGGAATGATGGGCTCCCAGCTCTCCGCAGGGCGTGGTGCTTCGGTGAATTAAAACAGGAAACCGGTGCTTTAGCCCTGATAGTTCTGTGACATTTTAGATCAGCCAGAAGTGAGTTAATAGAGCGGACAAAAGCAGGTTTAAAGTGATTTCACCATATGGAGTGTAAGCCAGAAGCCAATAAAACAAGGTAAAAAGTAGTCTAGTTACTAGTAAAAGCTAATAAAAATCGGAGACAGGGTAAAGCTGTAGGGACGGAAAACAGATCGGTTGTTGCTAGGGGGCTGGGGGAGTGAGGGTTTGACTACGAAGGAGCTGCTGACGGGAATTTGGGGGGCTGAGGGGATAATTGTGTGTTCTGGTTTGGGTGGTGTATACAGGACTATGCAAGTGTCAGAACTTGTCCACACACACCCCCAAAAGTGAATTTTACTATATGTCAGTTTACAATTCCAGATTGCTCACCAAAAAGAAACACACACAAACAGGAAGTGGGGGTGCAGGCTGGCTTTTCCTTTCTAAGAGGGGAGTGATAAGAATGTTTTCAAAGCCTGGAAGGTAACGCCTTAATTTTTAAGTGCGCCTTAATTTTTAAGTGCGCATAACTTTGAGATCACTACAGAAATAGCAAACCAGTCCATAGAACAAGAAGAAAACAAAAGTGACAGAAGTAAAACATTAACCTTGGAGAGCAAAGGTCAAGTCCATAGAAGATTGTGATAGGAATACTGTGTTCCTGCAATATTGACTCAGTATTATTATTATAAAATGTCAGACTCCCACCCTGGCCGGTTTGGCTCAGTGACTAGAGCAGTGGTCCGCAAACTGCGGCTCTTGGGCCCCTTAAATTTTTAGCAAAGGCCAGCTTAGGAGTACCCTAGTTAAGTTAATAACAATGTACCTACCTATATAGTTTAATTTGAAAAAAATTTGGCTCTCAAAAGAAATTTCAATCATTGTATTGTTGATATTTGGCTCTGTTGACTAATGAGTTTGCGGATCACTGGACTAGAACATTGGCCTGAGGACTGAAGGGTCCCGGGTTCTATTTCCTGGTCAAGGGCACATGCCCGGGTTGTGGGCTCCCCAGTAGGGGGCATGTAGGAGGCAGGCAATCCATGATTCTTATCATGGATGTTTCTCTCTCCCTCTCTGAAATCAATAAAAATATATTTAAAAAAATAAAATGTCAGACTCCCAAATTTGTCTAACTCAGTCTGACATTTTGGGGATTTGACCATGACATTCTGAGACAATGTGGCCAGGGGGAAACCCCACGGAAGTTCTTGGGTTTCCGAGATCTGGGTCCGGGGCTCTGCTGCCTGGGCTGCTCCCTGCACAGGTGTGCTGCTGAGGGGGCTGTGTTAGGAATACTATGTTCCTGCAATATTGACTCAGTGCTATTAAACCATCAGACTCTCCGTTTCTTACCTGCTCCTCTCTTGAGTGCCGAGTGGGCACTGTCCAGCCCTTACCAGCCCTCTTCACCCCAAACACTTGTCCAAACAAGACTGTCTTCACGGCATTTCCCTCTAAACCTTACGTGAGCAGAGTATTGTGTTAAAAAGTACCTGTGGCAAAACGGAAGAATTCTCCGCGGCCTCTGAGCTGCAGAAACATCTTAGATGTGGGAAGAGCCGCCTCGGAGAGAAGGAGATAGGAGCCCAACAATACACAGGCCCGATTCACAGTGTTTGACGTTGGCCCATTTGTCTCAGAGCTAGTGGCCCATGGAGGTTCGACCATTAGCATCAGATGGGGTTCAACCTTATATTGCCCCTCAAGCGATTCTGATGATGCAGCCGGTTTTGTGTGAGAACTGGCAAGTAAAATTGTAATTAAAAACAAAAGAAACAAGAACCAGTGCGTGCTCCTTTAGAATCCCTGTGACTTTATCCTTGAACAATTTTTTCACAAGTAGTTTGCCCCTCTTTCTAACACACTGGCCTTTCGCCTTCATGATCATCATCTCTGTGCCCCATTCCCATAATCTGGAAAAAGGAGCAGCAAAGATGAGGTGCTAATTCTGGGGAATAGCTGGGATTATAACCCCGGGTACAGTTAAAGAACGTGTTGCTTTATGAGGTTCTTGAAATAGCCAAGGTATAATTAATTGGACTAAACAGCTTCTTGACTCACCGGATAGTATCGGATGCAGGTAGCGTTCGGCTCCTTCCTCGGTGCCCCTCTGAGGAGGGTACATATTAATAAGAATTTTAATTGAGACTATAACTAGGGCTTTGTGTTACCATTATATTCTTTGTCGATTTTTATGTGCTAAATAAAGGCCTAATGCTGAGATATGGATTATACAACAGAAAAAAAGAATCCGGTTTTGGATTCTGTGCTTCTGTCAAAGTTCAATACTAAGTTTTATTTTTATTCTCTCTCCAACTACCCTCCCCCACCCAACCCAGGATGTTGCTGCAGAGTGTGAGGTCAAATGCATGCCAACCTTCCAGTTTTTTAAAAAGGGACAAAAGGTAGGTACATTTGACCTTGAAGAAAGCTGAGTAATAGGAAAACATGAAATAAATGAAGAAACAGAAGTTACTTATTCCTTCATACGGAGAAGCATGTCCCCACTGTTTAACTTTTAAGAACTACTTAAATAGGCCATTCTTCATTGACTGAGGTACATAGTGTGGCATCTAATTGAAAATTGATTTTTTTGCTAGACCCAGTCACTAAATCTGTGGCTGGTACTTCATAGTCTATAACAAAGTATATTTGCTGTTGTTAAGAGGTATTTGAGTCTTTTGCCTATTCTTAAGGGGCTATTTTCTCTTAGTTTCTAACTTAAAACTATGTTATCCAGAGTGTTAATTTTGAATAAGATTCTCTCTCCTTGGCCCCCACTTTTCCCCCATTTTGTGATCATGTTTTATGCACAAAGTGAAGATAACATTGCTGCCATCTAATGTCAATTCAATATTTTCTTAACAGGTGGGTGAGTTTTCTGGAGCTAATAAGGAAAAACTCGAAGCCACCATCAATGAATTCGTTTAATCATGTTAACCAGCCATCGGCTCTTGTAATTTTTTTTATTTACAAAAAAAAAAGAAAATAGATCAAGTATAGAGACTATATACGCAACTACCATCTGATTATAAATGACAATAAAATATTAATTCTACCCTTTTTAAAACTGTCTGGTGTCTTGACTAGCTTTCAAAATAAATGAAAAGTGGCCAATTAGAAGGTATTTAGTGTCCTAATTATTTTCACGTATTCTTGATCACTAAACTTGTGGGTCACTGATAGCTTTTTAATATTTTTCTTTTGTATTGTTAGCTACTTTCGTGTATTTCTAGGAAAATCTTGTTGATAGCAATGTAGGTAATATATTACTATTTTTAAATTCTATTTTTGTTTTATCCTTAAGAACAGAGAGAATAGCATTCTCTACTCCTGCAGGGAAATCCCCTGTGCTCTCTGAGTGATCAGTGGGTCCCAAACTAACGATCACCCATGAAGGAATTGTTTCTCTGGTTTGAGACTCCTTTCCCACAAGGTTCCGTGAACTTCAATTGACTCCTGTCCTATCAGAAATTCTTCGTGGGCAGCGCACAAGAGAAGAATTCCTGCAAACATTACCATGGGAATTGTGATTCCCTCAAAGTAGCTAAAAAACTGGTTTTGGAGGGTAGCTAGAAGTTCCAACCTGAGTGATCAAGTGTGTGGAAGTTACTGGTTATTTCACTCAAAGAACAGGAAGTGTAGAGACAGCAAAGCGCTGGGAGAATGCTTGAAGTTTTTAAATTTGTATAGTAATTAAGAGATCCTAGACTTAATCATATGCCCCACAGCATCCTTAATTAATCTTTGCCTCCAAAAGGTGGGCATATAAACTCCATTTCCCAGCGAGAGAACAGGCCGAGAGGCTGAGGAATTTCCCCAGCATCACACTGGTCAGAGGCTCTGAGATTCCAACCGTGTACTTGGCTCTCGACTGCCTCATCGCAGCAGGCTGAATAAATAGTAAAACGATGGTCCCTTTCCTGGCTTCCTTTTCTCATCTAAAATTAGAGTTGAACTTAGTAGTCGGCAAACTGGTATGCAGGTCACATGCGGCTCTTTGGCCCCTTGAGCGTGGCTCTCCCACAAAATACCACGTGTGGGTGCGCACATACAGTGCTATTGAAACCTCGTGGCCCATGCACAGAAGTCGGTTTTCGGCCTGGGCGAGTCTATTTTGAAGAAGTGGCGTTAGAACACTCAAGGGGCCAAAGAGCCGCATGTGGCTCGTGAGCCGCGGTTTGCTGACCACTGACTTAGACGGTCCTTCAAAATATCCACAATGCTTATTCTGTGCAAAACTAGGGCTTTAACTGTAAGATACCCTTCCCAGAGATTACATGCAAACTGGGGAATGATAGACAGGAATTTTATACACGATCACAACAAGCACATGGACACCATAATGGAGGAGAACAGCCTGGCTCTGGATGGAGTGGTTGGGGCAGGGTTCTGGGAGGTGACAGACCTGGACTAACCTGCAGAGTTCCGTTAGAATGAGCAGCATGCACAAAGGCCCCGAGTCAACGAGCTTGGTACATGGTAGCCGAAGCAGGAGTGAAAGCAAGCCGTGAAAGGGTAAGCCAGAGCTAAAGTACTCCAACGGCAGTTACTGGCAGCTGTATGGGAAATGGTGGGAGAGGTCTGCAATGTCAGGCCTTTGCAGAGATCAAGGCCAGAGAGAGCGATGGCTGTAATTGAGGAGGGAGTAGAGATGAAACTGTCTAGTTCCCATAACATTTAAGAAAGAAGATCCAGTAACTTACGGGAGTAGAATTCTAGAATAAAGTTCAGCTTTAGGGTTTGAGCAACTTGGTAGTAGAAGTGTAATAGGTCATTGGTCGGCAAACTCCTTAGTCAACAGAGCCAAGTATCAACAGTACAACGACTGAAATTTCTTTTGAGAGCCTAATTTTTTAAACTTTTAACACAACTTCTTCAAAATAGACTCGGCCAGGCTGTGGTATTTTGTGGAAGAGCCACACTCAAGGGGCCAGAGATGTGGCTCGAGAGCCGCAGTTTGCAGACCACTGTAATAGATGAAAATTGGAGAGGTCATGTTGTCATGTTCCCTGGATGTGTGAAGACGGATGCTCGAGTGGTGTGTATTCAAATGAAGATGTCCTGCAGGCTGTTGGGTACTCACCTGGAACTCAGGACAGGCCTTGCTGGGGTAGGAATTTAGAAGATGTCATGTAGATGGCACTTCAAAACAGGAATATGTGAGCTCACCCAGGGAGAGAATTCTGAGTATGCTGCCTGACGAACTTCAACATTTAGAGACCAGTAGAAAGCAACCAACAGGGAAATCTTAAGGGAAGCCTGAGGAGGAGGAAAACCAGAAAGGGGTTTTAGTCCCAAAGTAAAGAGGATTTCAAAGAGGAAGGGGTGTCAACCATCAGATGTTTGACAGGAACACAAAACAGGTGGTGGCGTGACCAAGAAGTTCTATGGAGCGATTGGGATAGAAGCCAGATGGGTGGGAACTGGAGAGAGTGGTCAGAAATGACCTGCAAGTCGCACTTTTCGTATCCTTTCAAGTTTTCACAGAATAAGGAGCTATTACTACTAAAATAGGAAAGTCTCAGTGACTACGTGAAATAAAGTTGCAAAACTATTAACTCAGGACTGTATGATTCCATTTGTATAAACCACAAGACTTGCTGTCTCTCTCTATAGGTAAATCTGCACCTAAATTAACAGAAAAATGTCTCCAAGGAAACATCTCTAGTCACAGCAGTGATTTTTGGACACTTATAAATGAAAATACACATTTTTCACAACATGATCTCACTCATTTATAGATGATAAAGAATATTATAAACTGATGAACAAAAAGATAGATACAGAGATAGTAAAGCAACAGACTGTCAAATTACAGCAGGGAGGGGAGGGAGATATGGGGAAGATAGATCAACCGAAGGACTTGTATGCATGCATATAAGCATAACCAATGGACGAAAAACTCTGGGGAGGGAGGGCATGTATGGGAATGGGGGGAAGGGGGGCAATGGTAAGATATGTACACATATAATACCTTAATTAAAAAAAAATACACATTTTTTAAGTAATCAAATGTAAAGAGGGATAAATGGCTGTAGAACTCATGGGAAGCTGCTCTAAAATAGAGCTGGGAGATGGAGGCATTTTGTATATGAGTGTGTTTGCTAGCATGCAAATAAAAATGAAACAGATTGATTTTGCAGGAAAAAGGATACCTGAGAAAAGGAATTCCTTGTATAGTCAAGACAAAAAAAATGGGACTCATGCATATATGCATAACCCATGGATACAGACAATGTGGGAGGTGAAGGTCTAGGGTGGGGTGGCGCCGTGGCAGGCTGGAAAAAGGGGCATATGTAAAACTATCAGCGAAGCTGGCACCGGTTTGGCTCAATAGATAGAGCGTTGGCCTGCGGACTGAAAGGTCCCGGGTTCGATTCCGGTCAAGGGCATGTACCTTGGTTGGGGCACATCCCCAGTAGGGGGTGTGCAAGAGGCAGCTGGTCGATGATTCTCATCGACATTTCTAACTCTCTATCCCTCTCTCTTCCCCTCTGTGAAAAATCAATAAAATATATTTTTAAAAAACAAAACTATCAGCGAAGATTTTGGGGGGGGGGAAAGGGGGGGGGAGACTCAGAGCACAATGGGAGAAGCTGGTCACTGCATCATAGCCAGTGGAATAAAGATGTGTGCATGAGCATCTAAATATGTGAAGCACATATTAACAGACCTACAGGGAGAAATAGCATACTATAACAGTAGGGAACTTTTAATGCCCCACTTAACATCAATGGCTAGAGCATCCAGAAAGAAAATCAATAAGGATACATCAACCTCAACAGATACACAACACATTCCATCCAAAAGCAATAGAAGACACATTTTCCAAATCCACATTAACATCATAATAGGTCATATAAAGTCATAACAAGTTTGAAATTGTTATGATTTAAATCATATCAAGATTGAAATCATATCAAGAATCCCAACCACAATAATATAAAATTAGAAGTCAATTATAAGAAAACTAGAAAATTCACAAATACGTTAAGATTGAACTACATGCCACTGAATAACCAATGAGTCAACAAAGGAATAAAAACATATCTTGAGCCCTATCTGGTTTGGCTCAGTGGATAGAGCATTGGCCTGTGGACTGAAGGGTTCCAGGTTTGATTCCAGTCAAGGGCATATATCTTGTTTGCGGGCACATCCCTAGTGGGGGGTATGAAGGAGGCAGCTGATCAATGTTTCTCTCTCATTGATGTTTCTAACTCTCCCTCTCCCTCTCTTAAAAAAAAAAAAATCAGTATATTAAAAAACAAAACAAAAAACCTTGAGACAAATGAAAATACAGTATACCAAAACTGACGGGAGGCAGCAAAAACAGGAAAGTTTTAAGAGGGAAGTTCATCGTGATAAATGCCTACCTCAAGAAATAAGAAAAATCTCAACCTAATTTTGCACCTTACAGATCTAAAGCAAAGAATAAATGAAGCCTAAAGTTAGAAGGAAATAAAGATCCAAGCAGAAATAGAAAAAAAATAGAGACTAAAAATAAAAGATCAATGAAACCAAGAGCTGGTTCTCTGAAAAGATAAAATTGTCAAACCTTTAGCAGCTAAAGTTAGCTAGACGCAGCAAGGGAAAAAAGTGTAAAAAGTGGCTGTAGTAGTTCTCAACCTTTCTAATGCCGTGACCCTTTAATACAGTTCCTCATTGTATTAAAGGTGATCATCGCCAACCATAAAATTATTTTCATTGCTACTTCTTAACTGTGATGTTGCTACTGTTATGAATCGTAATGTAAATATCTGTGTTTTCCGATCATCTTAGGCTCACCACAACATGATAAACTGTATTAAAGGGTTGAGGCATTAGAAAGGTTGAAAACCACGGGGCTAGAGTGTTTGTACAGGTTTAAACCTTGGACTAATGAGAGGGCACAGTCCTCTCATGGCCACGTGCAAGTTTCAGCTTAGCGG